CCATAACCTAACTCTTGTAATATTGAAAACTGAAAAGGCTATATCATCTAGACTTCAACTTTCTAGGAACAACTTCCACTTGGAGTAAAATAGTAGAACACATTTCCCTTGTAAACTCTTTCTTTTGGAATGTTAGATCATGTCATCTTCTTCTTCTTTTTTTTTCTTTTTCTTTCTAAGTTTTGTCATTTTCATAAGAAAAGTACTCAAATTCATTTCATTCATGAAGTTTAAGAACTCATATTCTCCTGCTTTAGAAAGATTAGAATTGAGAGATTTCAATGCTCATAAAAAATGTGTGACACCGTTAAAGTTACCCACACAAGTACAACTAAGGTAAAATGGTCTAGAATAAATACATTTACCCATGATTATGAATTGCTTAGAATTAAATTTTAAAAAAATATTTATGACAAAGTCTTTTAACTCAAAACTCTTTTCGTCATCTTCTGATAACTATTTTAGCAAATATATCAAGTGCGAAAATTCAATACTTTATAAAATTATTGATTTGATTAACGCACTTGATAAATTTATCAAAGGGAGGAATAACTTGAATCTCATTCTAAATAATCAAAGAGAAACCTATAATAAAGTTGGTCTAAGTTATATACCAAAAAAATAATATTAAGTCATTTAATAATATTTGACATGCTAATAGGAAATCTAAATATAATACGCTAAAATGTGATTATTATGATAAAAAATGGTCACACAAATTTATCATGCTTTATAGAAAGAATCATGATAGAACGAAAGTTAAACTTATGAGCCATACCATGAAGTTATGAGAAAGAGTGATAGAATACAGATTAAGAAAAGAGACTCGAGTCACTTTGAATCAATTTAATTTTATGCATAGTAGGTTAACCATTTAAGCGATATATCTGCTACGGCATGTGAATGAACAATATCGGATGAACCAGTGAGATTTGCACTTAATTTGTATTGACTTGAAAAAGGCATATGATAGAGTGCCTAGAGAGATTTTATGGAAAGCTCTAGATAATAAAGGGATTAAGGTTCATACATATATATGAAGGGGTATCGACTAGTGTGCAGACATAAGGTGGAGAGACGGGCGATTTCCCTGTTACAATAGGTTTGCATCAAGATTTAACCCTAAGCCCTAACCTTTCTACCTTAATTTTGGATGTACTCACTGAACATATCCTAAAGATAGCACCAAGATGCATGCTTTTTGTAGATGATATAGTCCTACTTGGAGATTCGAAGGAGGATTTATAAGAGATGTTGGGGACTTAGAGACAAGCTTTAAAAACACATAGTTTTCTCCTAAGTAGAAGTAAGATGGAGTATATAGAATGTAAGTTCAACAAAAAAGGAGTGTTTCTAACGTTGAGGTAAAAGTTGGAAAACATATCATCCCTAAAGCTACATGGTTTAAATATCTTGGATTCGTAATACAAAATTATGGAAAAATAGAAGGGGGTGTAAACCATTGAATTCAAGCTGAGTGGCTGAAATGAAGAAGAACATCCGATGTTTTAAATGACGCAAATGTACCACTCAAACTCAAGGAAAAGTTTTATCGGACTACGGTGAGACCTGTGATATACAAGATAGAAAGTTGGACGGTTATGAATCAACACGAGAATAAAGTAAGTGTAGCAGAGATAAGGATGCTATGTTGGATGTGTTATAAGACTAGACATTATAGGATTAAAAATGAAAATATTAGTGAGAGCTTGAGGTAACACTTAGAGAAGATAATAGAAAATAGACTTAGGTGATTTGGACATGTAAAGAGAAGACCTATAGATTCTGTGATAAAGAGAGTATATCAAATGGAGAGAAGGCAAACAACTAGAGAAAGAGAAACTAGAGAAATTATAAGAGAAGTTATTAAGAAAGATCTTGAGATTAACTATTTTAATAGAAGCATGATTCAAGATAGAACATTATGGTGAAAATTGATCTATGTAGTCAACTCCCACTTGGTGAAATAAGGCTTAGTTGTTGTTGTTGTATAGAAATAATCACGATGATAAAAATGATTCTTCTTCATCTCATCCCTATAAGAACTGTCATGGAAATAACATAAAAATTAATTCTTTTTCTCTTATTTTTATGATTACAACTCTAATTGAAAATCTAGAAATTATTTGTATTATAAAAATGTTAGAGGACACAAAATGATTTGGGTAGTTAAAGTAAAAGAAAAACTTAAGTTTTTAATTCATATATGCTTTACTGTCTCAAATGATAAATGTATCTTAATACTAGATGTTCAAAGCGTATTATTGGAGATATAGTTCAAATTTCTTCCTTTACTTCTAAAACATGAGGTTTTATTTCATATGATGATAATAACAAAAGAAGGATCATATATTTTGGTAATATTTGTGTGTATCACAATCCAACGATTGGGATAACTTTTTAGTTGACTTTTAAAACATAACATGATTAGTATTAGTCAATTATGTGATAAAGATAATAATATAATTCTTGATTCGTCTGTAGGGAGGATCATAAACACATAAAATAACCAAACTCTTTTTACTAATTTAAGAGGTAGAAATACACATTAAATTTTAATATACTACTTTCACACGACGTTTGTCTTTTAAGTAAAATGGATGAATAATGATTATGATATTGGAGACTACCCTATATCCATATGGATCATTTGAACAAGTTGTTTTGCAAGGAATTAGTAATCGGTTTGTCAAACTTGAATTTTTAAAAGAATCAATTATATGATATATTCCAAAAGGATAAACAAGTAAATACCTCTTTTAAATATAAAAATGTTATTTCTATAAATAGACATTTACGAATCTTGCATATGGTTTTTTTACTCATCATGAACCATACATTTTAGAGGGAATCACAATGATTTTGTTATAATCGATGACTTTTCTTGCTATACCTAAACGTTTATCTTATCTCATAAAAAAGACGGCTTTGATGCATCTACTTGAAGTGATAATTGAGGTAAATTTCAAAATGTAAAATTCAAGAACTTTTGTATTAAAAATGACATATATCATACTTTGTCTTCTCCACGAACTCCCCCAATAAAATGAGATAGTGGAACGAAAAAATAGATCTCTTTAAGAGCTAGTGAGAACGATGTTAAATGAAATCAACCTTTCTAAGTATTTCTATACTAATATAGTAAGAACTGCTTGCTATATAATGAATCATGTCTTGATACGATCAATTTTAAAGTTGATGCCCTACGAATTATACAAGAGTACGAATTATACAAGAGAATGAAGTCTAATATTTTTCATCTCCATGTTTTCATATGCAAGGGATTTGTCCTTAATAACGGGAAGGATTACCATGGAAAATTCTACTCTAAAGTTGATAAACGTTTATTCTTAAGATATTTCACTTCTAATAAAGCTCTTAGAATTTTTAATAAACAACCTTTGACCATAGAAGAATCAACTCATATTACCATTGGTGAAAATAACCCGAAATCAATAGAGGTAGAAGTGTTTGATTGTACAGATATTCTGAAGAAAACTCTCTTAGAAGGTCAAGATCAAGACAAAAATCAAGTCAAAGACCAAAGTAAAAATAAAGATCAAATTGAAGATAGAAATAATGATCAAGTCGAAAAAATAAATAAAAATAATGGTCTACCTAAGAAATGAAGAACTACAAGAAAAAAATTCAATCTAAAACTTAATATGAGATATTTTTAAGGGGATAACTACTGGACACTCTCTTAATAGAATATGTAAATTTATGGCTTTTGTTTTCCAAATTAAGCCAAAGAATGATAATAAAGCTTTTATTAATGAAGATTGATCTCTTGTTATACAAGAAGAACTAAATCAATTTGAAGAAATAATATTTAAGAACTTGTTCCCCGACCTAAGACAAATCTAGAGATTGGGATCAAATGAAATTTTTGCAACAAATTTAATGAAAATGGAAGTGTTTTACTAGTAATAAATAAAGACTTGTTGCGAAATGGTATAATCAATAAGACAAATTTCGATGAAAGTTATGTTCTTGTAGCTAAATTAAAATACATGAGAATGCTTTTACCTTTTTCATGCATTTAAATTTGAAACTTTTTCAAATGGATGTAACAAACTCTTTCTTAAACGGTTAAATTCAAGAGGAAATATATGTTGATCAACTTTCTCTAATTATGTATTTAAGTTGAAAAAGACTGTTAAAAACAAAGTTGAAAAAGACTATGATTTAAAACAAATCCCTCGAGCTTCATTGCTATGACTGTTTGAACAAATTTCTACTTAAAAACAATTTTCATAGAAGAAAGATTGTCACAATAGTTTTGATTAAGAAATCTCAAATTATGTTTTTTTGTCTATGTGTGTACACTTTCAAGAAAACTCCAAATAATTACACCATTATACCAATATGAAATATCTCACTAACACACCATTAACATGACTGATTGTACTTTAATTGGGTCTCTAACTTTGATTTCATTGGTTGTAAATTGGATTGAAAAAATACCAGCTAAATGTGTCATTTGCTTGAGAACTTGCTTGATATCAAGTCAAATTTAAATGTTTTGTAGAACTCGATTCGGCCTCTCTTGGTGATGCTACCTTTATGTGTTAATACTTCTTTTAAGAAAGAGTTGTCCCGACACATGTTGTGCAAGTGCCGGAGTCAGATACCCGAGCGTGTCGGACTCAAAAAGGCATAATTTCAAGTGTCCATGCTTTATATATGACTCAAAAAGGCATAATTTCAATAGGGTTCATGCTTTATATATATATATATGATGATTTGAGCATAAGTTAGATATGCAGAATAACATTAGTAGCAACAATGACAACTGAACAAAGGAAGTCAAATTTTCAATATAACCACATTAATACAGTACCATAGCTTTGAAAAGAAACAACAATTTGGGGCCTTATTGTAGCACACCAAGAATACATCACAGGACATATTCTAACCATTCAAACCCATCAAATAGTATTTAATTTACAAAACTACTTATCTCACATAGAAACCGAGCCAAATATTTTAGTAACAGGTTACTTAGTCTCAGATGATGCTTCACCTTCCCAAAAGGCAGTTGGCTTCCCAGTCTTGGAAACTGTCTTCAGAACTGTATCTGGTTCAACATTTCCTTTCACTACCACTTTCTGTTCCTTCAAATCAATGTCATATGATTCCACGCCTGCAAATAAAAGAGCTGGTTATTATTCTGCAATGTTTCAAGGAAATCCTTGGTTTATATACTGTTATTGTATTGAATTTAATCAACAGATCAAGATTTAGACTTAGCAGGTTTACTTTTATCATATTCTTGAACGAATGAGCCAAAACAATTTAGTCTTGAAATTTACATGTATATGTTATGTAAGCCAACAAATGAGCCAAATAGAGTATTAGTTACAATTTTCTTTTCTCTGAGGAGAGCTTTTGCTCTTGAGTTATAGGGATTTTCCTTCTGTTATACATATATTTTCAATCGATAATACAATTACCTCTTCTTTCTAAATTTGGGTTCCTATCAGTATATTGCATAACTAAATGAATAAATAAATATAAGCAAGCCGACAGCATAACACACATATTTAGGGTAAGACGGTGGAAGCGGAGTTATTCTATTGACTGAAAAAACACCGGTAAATATTTTAATTAGCCTAAGCGGAAGTAAGATGGAATATGTGGAAGCTAAGTATAGCAAAAAGAGAAGCATTTCTAACCTAGAGGTGAAAGTTGGAGATTGTGCATGTTACACGGTTTAAATAGGAGACCTAAACCATAAAATTCAAGTTGAGTGGTTGAAATGGAAAAGGGTCTCAAGTAATTTAAGTGACATGAAAGTACCTCTCAAATTGAAAGGGAGATTTTATAGAATAGTTGTAAGACCCACGATGTTGTTCGTGACAAAATGTTGGATGGTAAAGAACTAACATGAAAATAAATTATATGTAATTGAGATGATGATCTTGTCTTGCATGCATGGTAAAACTATACTAGATAAGCTTAAAAATGACAATATTAGAGAGGAAATTGAGGGAGCACTATAATATCAAAGATGGTGGAAAATAGATTTAGGTTGTTTGAACACGTAGAGAGAAGACATGTGAATTCTGTTGTAAGGAGCATAGATTAGATGGAGAGTAATCAATGGACTAAAGGTAGACTTAGAAAAACTACAAGAGAAACTATTAAAAAGGATATCGAAATTAACGAGTTGGATAGAAACATGGTTTGTGATAGAATATTATGACGTAATTTGATCCATGTAACTGACCAGACTTAGTGGGATAAGACTAGGATCGTTGTTGTAAACTTGTAATTGTAGAAGATTAAAATATTCATGATTAGAAACTTGAAGAGGAAGATATCAGCATTAAACTAGAAAAGGTAAGATGATATACTAGAGAATGTGTGATCTAACATGTTCAATGGTCCTTCTCTTTGCTTTGTGACACATTCAATTCAAACATCTTTCAAAAATGAGTGGAAGGGGTATTAAATATGTGGACACTTGAAGTTGAAATAAAGATAAGAAGAACCAGACACACATTAAAAAACCAAAAAATATTGCAAATCATGTCAATCTAACAACACATTTAGGGTAGCACTAGCAGAGGAAAAATTGTAATAGCATGATAATTAAAATGATGGTGAAAACTATATAATGAAAACTATAAAGCAAGGGATTAAATATACCATCCAATTTTCCAAGAACCCTCTTCACTGCTCCAACACATCCTTCACATGACATACCAACTTTGAGAACAACAGTCTGTAATCACAACACAAAAATTTCATAAAATGAATTAAAAAAAAAAAAACAATTAATCATCTTAATTCCTATATAATCCTAATAACACAGATATCAACATAATCACAAGAAATAAACCATGTATATTTATATTTAAATACAGTAACTAATCACATCCTTCATTTAGGTTTAAGGATTCCAAATCCCAACAACAACAAAAATCATATTTTTCTAAAATTATTAAATCTCATAAAACAAGACCAACGATTTCAGAAACCTTATTTTTCAAAAATCAAACCAAAAAAAAAAAGGAATCAAGAAAAATTGTAAAATTAGAATTAGACAACAAAAGAAAGAACAAGAAATTGAAGGATTGAGATTCACCTGAGACATGGTTATGACTAAATTGAGACGCGAAACGAAGAAATAAAAGTCAAAATAAAATATAGATGCAGATTCGATGTAGATAGCGTTTGAGGGTGTTTTGGTTTTTATAGGGATAAGAAAAAACAATTTGCCCGAGACGGTGAGAGAGAGAAAAGAAAGAGACAACAACGTTGGGTTAAATTGAACACAGCATAGCTTAAACTACACGCAAAAAAGACGCGCTCGTATGCGATTACGTCTTCAATTTTATTTATTATTTTTATAAATAAAACATCGATTTTCTGTTACTTAATAAAAAAAACATTAACCGTCGATTTAGACTTTTGGTGGAGTGGATCTCTCCGATTAATGGACCAAGTACATGAAATTTGTTGCTACTTATTTTTGTTTTCACATGTAGGATTACTTCTTTTTGTTTTTACATTTTTGTTATCACATATAGGATACTTTATCACATAAGTCACATCTATTTTAATATGAGAAACTTAACGAAAGATAGAGATTTTAAGAAATTATTTTGATAAATAAGTCTTGAAAGTTTAAAAAAATAAATTAGAGTAAGCTTAGAATTTAGATCATAATAAACTCAAAGAGGTCCATAAATTTGGATTAAAAATTTCTGAGTTGTTTTAGACTTTAAAAGGTCAAATAATTACGGTTTAGAGAACACATTAATTCACCGCGGCACTCAGTAAGCAAAAGGATGTTATTCTAGTCTAAAGTTGAGATGATTTAAATTCAAGATTCATTAGACATATCTCTACATTCTACACCTAAAGATTAATTAGTTGTTATAATCAACTTAATATATAAGAGTGAAGCGTGTCATTTCTCAAGTATATTTTGAATTCAAATTTCATTCGTTTATCTTGTTTTTTTTTTACTGAGTTAAGTGTTGATATGTTAATTTTACAGGTCAATCCCTTTCTCACCACCAAAAGCTCAAGTCCACTGATATAATCCACAACCTCTGATCATAGATCAATTCTAGATCCTCGCAGAACATTGGCAGTGTTGATAGGAAAAATAGCAAATGTACTATTTTTCCTTTTGTAATAATAATAGAGAAATTCTCTGAATGTCGATCTCAAGGACTGCGTAGAGATAGTGTGGTTCAATTAAACAAAAACTATAGTGGATTTTGTTTTGAGATTATAATTGACAATAAAAAAAAGCAGACTATAAAATTGGATTTTTCACAGATATGAGGAACATGTTAGGGTAAAGTGTATAATTTGCCCTATAACAACCTTGAATCCTGATTTCTTTAACAAGTTCAAAATACTCAATTACCAGATCTTTAGTATATTTTCCCCTAAGTCCTTAGTGGGAAAACCTTTAAACATTCATCCTAAATCCTAAGTCCCTAGAGATTTAGGATGAAATCAAGCCTTTGTTTTATCAAGATTTAACTGGTAACTATATGGTATTCCTAGTCTTAGGTGATATCTACTATATTTTAATCGCACAAAAACCTTAACAACGGCGGTCCAGCCTAATCGTTAACCGTAATTCGATCCTTGTTGGTCCGACAAAGAAAACATTAAAAACCTTGTACGATCAAATTGGATATGAAAAATAAATATATTACTGAAATCTAGAAAGCAGAGTTGTTTACAAAATCAAATCAGGGACACCCCCAAGCATTAGGGGGTTTAGCTACTCATATTGTTCAAAGTAATTTCAAGATAAAAATTAGACATTACAAATTAATGATGAACTTTGATCTTCAATTGCTTCCGCTCATGAAAAGTCTTTGTTCTTCAATAATCTCATATGCTTCAATCTTCAATCCTCAAATTCTTCGCTCGTAAAAAAATTCCTCTTTTCTTTCGTGAAAACTCTTCGATATAGTGAAAATTCATTGGCCTCAGTCAGAAATGCCCAAAACGCCCCTACGGGTAAACACTTAGTGAAAAATCAACAAAACAAGCATAATCAGCGTCTGAGCCAACACGACCCGTATCAGCTGACACGGGTGGCCGTGTGTTGGCTGAAGATTTTGATAATGTTATCTAGAATTCAAAAGAGTTAAAAGTTCTGATCGAAATGGAATTGAACACCATATTTCGAAGTTGCAGAAGCAGTGTTTCGAATGAGTGTGTCAAAGCTTGAAGCTTCGAACGGTGATCATGGGAAAATATCCAAAGGGGTCTCGAAACAACAGCGAGGCTAGGTTTGAGAAGAGCGTTCGAAACGGAGAAACACCAAAGCATTTAAAATTTAAATGGAAGCGGGACTTTCAAAGTTTGAAAGTTATGTGTTGGAGCATTTGGGGACACGTGGAAAGATGAAAGAAGCATTGTCTTGCATGTTCGAAACGTGGCATGATCCTATAGCGAGACCGTTAGGGTCGAATTAGTATAAATAGAAGTCTTAGTATTAGGATTTCAGGGTGTCATATCTGTTATACAAAATACTCAATAACATTCAAACTACCACATGGCAAGGGAAACGAATGCAAGAGAGATGTATGTATGATAGCACCATGTATTTCTAACTTAATGAAAGCCTTTTTACCATTTCCAGTACTTTCCTCTTTTCTTTTTATCGAATAACATTTACAAGTTTCTTTATTTATCGTCTTTTCATTTCAAAGTCTTTTCCTCAAAAGTTTTACTCTTTATTGCTTTCTTTATATTTCGAGCACTTTATATTTCAGAGAACTGTTACGCTTTCAATACCTTTACTTCCAAGTATTGTTTTTCAAACGCATCCTTTTACTTAAAATTGCATTAAACGCTTTCTTCACATTTTAAACTTCTACATTCCAGAAACCTTTTATGTTAAATGTTTTGCAAATCGAAACCATTTACTTCATTTTTCATACAGTTTTATATGTCTCTTCAATCAGCATTACAATTAGCATTTATTCGTATAATTTAATTTTCATGTACAATTTGACCACATTTTTAAAACTCTTAGAGAGAAGGATCGAAATAAACCAAACACTTGTACAATAGCAACCATGAATAATTGTTCGATTGTGAGAGTAACTTTAATATCCAAGGAGTCCTAGGATCAATCTAGTCGATCCTGTGAGTTACCAGAGAGATTGAGTAGCGTTAATAAAGATTATTCGATAGTTTGGAAGACTAGCGGTTGTTTACCAGAAATCACTGGAAACAAATTGGCACACCCGGTGGGACCAATAATTGGATATCAGAATTAAGGATTGTCAGAATTAAGGATATCAGAATTAAGGATTGTCGAGACATAGCCATCCCAAAAACGTAGGAACCATAAGAAATTTGCTGTTTTATGAACCTAAGAAGTGGTAAGATAACCAACAGCAACCAACCTTTGATGCACCAACCTTTGATGCACCAACCTTTATCCAGAAGAAAACGTTTGGACAAAATGTCTAATTCAGACAATCAACAAGGAAACCAAGGTGACCCACATGCAACAAGCACTAACGCGTCCATTTCGAGCGGAACATCTAATGTAATCCCTTCGAATGCACAGTCTGTTGCATCTTCAACCAGTAACATAGCCACCACTGGAGTAAGTGGCATATCAACTAACAGTTCGATCTTAGGAAATACTGGAACTATGGGCTACCCTGGGGGATTCGTTCCACCACCAGGAACACAATCCCATTTAGCCACACCATTAACTAGACCACCCGGCTTCGATGGGAATAGAATTAGAAGTTCTTCTTACGGAATGCCAACATCTTTTATGGCAGGTTTACACAATTCCACTTCGAATTCATCCCCACAATTAGGATCTGGGTCTGGGGCGAACCAATTTATGACAAATAACCAAGGGTCAGGAGGTTATAGCACGTTGCCTATCCTAACCACAGATAACCAGTTGGCTTTTAGGCAATTGATGGATGACAGCAACCACAACATGATAGGGGTGTTAGCGCAAACCATGCAGGAAATATTTGCCCCAATAGTTCAGAATGTGACTGTGACGAACAGGGAAAACGCTGACAATATGAGTCGAATAGCAGATTTCTTTGCTCCCACAGAAAGGCGTAGGCAGAACCAGGCGGGATTTCGAACAAACATGCCTGTTATAGAACGAATTGCTAACGACCCAATTCAGAGACTACCCAGAGAAGAAGCTAACTTAGGGGCCAGAGCACCAAGGTTAGAAGCCCCAGTAATTCAGGGCCCACAAAGGGAAGTTATGGAACCAGGGGCAAGGATCGAAAGGCCAGAAGCCCCAGAACTTCGAGAAGAACAACCCAGGGGAGTTGTTTTTGTTGGTCGAAATCAAGATGCCGATGCCGTCGTTCATAGGATTCGAAACGATAACATCTTGGCAGAAAATAACCTAACCACCATGATAGAGAGGATCATGGCCCAAAATGGCCTCAATACGGGAATGAGGAAGCCAAATTACGCTTCTCCTATATTGGATTGTATAACGCATACTGATTTACCAAGGGGATACAAAGTCCCTAAATTTACAAAGTTCGCTGGGGATACCAACGAGTCAACAGTCGAACACATAGCGAGATATTTAACCGAAGCGGGAGACATAGCCAATAATGAAGATCTCAGGATCAAATACTTCCCAAGTTCCTTGACAAAAAACGCCTTCACTTGGTTTACCACGTTGCCTCCCGGATCTATTGACACTTGGCCCCTTTTAGAGAGATTATTCCATGAACAATTTTACATGGGACAATCGAAAATAAGTTTGAAGGAATTGGCCAGTGTTAAGAGAAAATTCACTGAACCCATAGATGATTATTTGAATAGATTTAGGCTGTTAAAATCCAGATGTTACACAGTAGTGCCTGAACATGAGTTAGTCGAAATGGCCGCTGGGGGTTTGGATTATTCTATTCGAAAGAAATTAGATACTCAGTATTTGAGGGATATGGCTCAATTAGCCGACAGGGTTCGACAGGTCGAAAGACTAAAAGCTAAAAAAGCCAGAGTCTTTAAGAATAGTAAGAAAGAAAGGGTTTCCTATGTTGGGACTGAGGAAGTAGAAGAATATCCTGAATTCGAATTCGAAGAGGTCGAAATCGACCTCGCTGA